GTGCCAACTTTCCTTTTTTTTCTGTTCCAAGCAGGTGATGGATGGTGGATGGAGGGTCACGGCCAAGAAGCAGCAGCAGCTTTTCCAAAAGGCATAAAGGAAGTTGTGGAAAGGATGTTTGGAAAGAAAGGTTCTAAGGAAAATCAGTTAAAAGTGGGGCTGGAAAAATGCTTTCCTTTTCAGTGTGCAGATTTCAGTGTCTTCATGGCTGAAGATGATCACCAAAAAAAAAGGAATGTGTCCATGGTGTGGAAAAATACTCAGAGATGAATCAGAGTTATGTTGTTCCAGAACTGATACTGTCCAAAACCAATATACAACCAGGAAATGCTCCATGAGAACCATTTCTCTTACCTTATCTCAGAGAATAAAAGTTGGAGAAAAGCCATATAAATGCCTGGAGTGTGGAAAGAGCTTCAGAGTCTCAAGTCATCTTACTTCCCATAAAAGAACACACACAGGAGAAAAACCGTATGAATGCAAGGAATGTGGAAAGAGATTCCAGTTTGCCACAAGTCTCACTTCCCACAATAGGATTCACACAGGTGAGAAACCATATGAATGTCAAGACTGTGGAAAACGCTTCACTATGTCAGGTTCCCTCACTTCTCATAAAAGAATCCATACTGGAGAAAAGCCGTATAAATGTCAGGAGTGTGGAAAGAGCTTCACTAGTTCAGGGTCTCTCACTCGCCATAAAAAGATCCACACAGGAGAGAAACCGTATCAGTGTAAGAACTGTGGAAAGAGCTTCAGACAAAAAATTCATTATACTGTTCACAACAGAATCCACACTGGGGAGAAACCATATAAATGTCAGGAATGTGAAAAGAGTTTCAGCTCTGCAAGAAATCTTATTTCACATCACAGAATCCACACTGGGGAGAAACCATATAAATGCCAGGAGTGTGGAAAGAGCTTCAACAACTCTCAGGTTCTTACTGATCATAACAGGATTCACACAGGAGAGAAACCATATAAGTGTATGGAGTGTGGAAAGAGCTTTCGTTCTTCAAAACCCCTTACTTATCATATAAGGATTCATACAGGGGAGAAACCATATAAATGCCAGGAGTGTGGAAAATGCTTCACTATGCCGGGTTCCCTCACTTCCCATAAAAGGATCCATAGCGGGGGAAAACCGTATAAATGCCTGGAGTGTGGAAAGAGCTTCAGAGACTCCAGTTATCTCACTTCCCATAAAAGGATCCACACAGGAGAAAAACCGTATGAATGCAAGGAATGTAAAAAGAGTTTCCGTTTTGCCAGAAGCTTTATTTCCCATAATAGGATTCACACAGGCGAGAAACCATATAAATGCCAAGATTGTGGAAAGGGTTTCACAGTTTCAAATTTTCTGACTTCCCATAAAAGGTTCCACACCGAGGAGAAACCATATAAATGCACGGAGTGTGGAAAAAGTTTAATAACCAGTAGTATGCTTTATCAACACAGGTGGATCCACACAGGGGAGATATACAAATGCAGTGAATTTGGAAAATGCTTCTCTAATTCAAGTTCCCTTTTTTCCGATAAAAGAATCCACACTGGGGGAAAACGACACAAATGCACGGAGTGTGAAAAGTGCTTCATTAATTCAAGTTCCCTGACCTCCCATAACAGAATCCACACAGGGGAGAAACCATATAAGTGCATGGAATGCGAAAAGAGTTTCACAACCAGCAGTCATCTTAGTCGCCACAAGAGGATCCACACAGGGGACAAACCGCATAAATGCAGTGAATGTGGAAAAAGCTTTATACAAAGTAATGCACTTAAGAAACATAGAAAGATTCACTCAGGAAAAATCCAGTAAGGTAGACTGGTTACTGCATTACTAGAAATTTTGTATGATCCCATTATAAAACCCTATAAATGCATGGACTGTGAAAAGGGCTATAGTACTAGCACCAATCTACTTCTGATATTTCACACAGAGAGAAACCATATACATGTGGAAATTCCAGAATGGCAGAATTGTTCTCACAAAAGCATCCAGAACGGAGAGAATCCATATAATTGCTTAGTGTATGAAAGAGCTTCACAACCAGAACTGACCTTAGTTCCCACAAGAGGATCCACATTGGTGAGAAATCATAAGTATACGTTGTGTGGAAAGGATTTTACTCAGCATCAGTCACCTTATGGGCATAGGAAAATTAGTTTGTGGGAAACTTACAAAACGCAAAAATAAGCAACAGATCCCCTAAATGAATTGTGTGACAAAAAGACCACAGGTAGCCCGCAATTATTGAAATTACAACTGGCAACCCCATTGCTAAATGACATTGTCACTAAGCGAAGTGTCATGTGTCATGTGTCTGTGCTAGACTGGTGTAATTCCACAGTGGTGGTTAAGCAAATAACTGCGGGATAAGCACAACATCACATGAACCTAACTTGCAATTGACTCTGCTTGTCAGAAGCTGGCTGTGAAGCTGGCTGCATTTGACTACAAGAGTGATGTAACGACCCGATGTCCGAGAACTGGCTGTAAATGTTCTTTTTCAGCATTGCCTTTTCTTTCATGTACACTGAGAGCATATGCACCGAGATAAATTCCAATCACACTTGGCCAATAAAAAAATCTATTCAGTTCTGTTCTGTTCTGTTCTGTTCTGTTCTATTTTCTATTAACACCGTCCTGAGTCCGAAAGGAGAAGGGCGGTATAGAAATTTGAATAATAAATAAATAAATAATAATAAACAAGCCACTTGGCAAGAGAGAACAATTGGCATAACACTCATGCTATCCCTGTTGTACAGACTGCTCAGTACAAGGTCTGTCTTCCTCACTTTTGAGATGAAGAAAACACCGGGTTGGTTCTAAGGCAACTTTGGCTTTGCTGTCACCATGTAATATACTGAATAAAGATCTATCTTTTGGTTTTCTTTCTTGGTTTCAAAAAAAAGAGTTTTATAAAATATCAATCTTATAACTTTTATTCTTAATCTTTCTAAATGCAATTTTAACACAGAGGGGCAAGAAAGGAATACCTGAGACGTTACAAAGAAGAAAGCTTTTCTTCCCAAATAATATTCTCTACTTAATTATGGAGCTATGTTTCCATCCCGACTTTGGATTGAAGTCCTGCCCTCCCCCACCCGCCGCGTAACTACTTAGGGATGCCATCCAAAGTAGAGATTCTCAGATCAAAAAGAGTTTGAATCATTTCTGATTGGTCCGGTGTTAGTTTTCACTAATTAGAAAAGTAGCTTGCGATGAAAGGTGACTGGTTAGAGTTCTCTAATTTTCAGTTTATCTTTGCAGACCCAATAAATGGAAATATTTTACTTATAATCTGCAGACAGCAAGGAATTTAATAAGGCATCTAAGGAGCCCATTTCATGAAAGGTTGAATTCATGACAAAAATAGGTATTTCAAAATAAATATAAAACTCATCAAGAAATTTAAATTGTCCAAGCAGTGAGAAGTATTTGATCAAGCACTTTATGTGGGTGTCCTCTAAATATCCAAGGAGATGCAAGTTTTTGGATTTGCCTCCCTGAAGGCTCCATCTTGAAGTGTATTGTTATGTAGAGTTGGGTTCCTTCTCCTGGAGCAGAGTCCTCAGAATCTAACATTGCTTACTTCTCAGAGCTTTATAATGTTTTTATGCTGCCACACTCCACAAGCCCTAATGCTAATGTACAATTAAAGCCAGGTAAGCATCCTTGCTATCCCTTCTTCAAGAATATTGAAGGAGCCTGAGTGGCGTAGGAGGCTAATGCCTCTTAAGGCAGCATTTAACATCCAGCTGCCTGCAGTTACTGCGAGTTCAATTCGTACCAGGCTCAAGGTCGACTCAGCCTTCCATCCTGTCTAAGGTGGGTAAATTGAGGACCCAGTTTGTGGGGGCAATAAGCTGACTTTGTATAAATATACAAAAGTATGAAGGCTATTGCTTAACGCATTGTAAGCCGCCCTGAGTCTCCGGAGAAGGGCGGCATATAAATCAAATTAAAAAAAAAAATGTTCAAGTAGCATTCTGCAAAACAGCTGAATCTCTCTTCCAGATTGGGATTCCTTCAATAATAGGCAAGTTTTCAAAGCAGGAGCAGTTTCCCAACAATCTGGCATTATTTGCATATTGACAACATGCCGCCCGGCTTTCTGAGGGACTTTTCTTCAGTAAGTACATCTAGTTGAATGAGTACCACGTTGCAATATCAAACAGGACTCTTCTTGCCCTTTGCTGAGGAAGCCACCAGGTAAGGATGTCTTTAGCACTTGGCCCAAGCACAACATGAAATTTGAAATACAAAAGTTGGCTTTGCTTCCTCTTTGATGTTATAGATAGTCCTTGACTTGTGACCACAATTGGAATTGGATCTTCTGTGGCTGCTATGTGGGGTCTGGTCTGCCCAATTTTATGAACTTTTGGGTAAAGTTAAGTCGATAACACACAGTCTTTAAGCCAATTCAGCTTGTCCGATTTGAGTTATTTTGTTAGAAACCAGCTGGGATAGTCACAAAGGATATTACATGGGAGTACATGATGCTGAGAACCTGCAGCGGTTCTGAAATTTTACAGTATACACAATAGCTGGGTGTTTTTTTAAAAATTAGCGCTGTTCTCTTTTAGCCAGGCTTTAAATTCAGATTCCTGCAGTTATTCATTTTCAAATGATTGCATATACCATGTTTTCCCTCCCCACTTTGGCAAAACCTCACTCATCCTAATTAATAAGGGTGTATACTGAAAATATATATTGGCATTTGAGAGCATGCGCACACATTACAGTGAAAGACTAACAGCGCTCCCAGTGAGTGAGACTCTATGGCTGAATAACGATCTTAGGAAGAGAGAGAGGAGGGAGGCGGAAGGTGCCTCTTCCGGTGCCAAAGTCGAATATCCGGGCCAGGAATCTGCCCCCTCTGCTGGGTGGACCAATGATTCCAGTCCCACGGTGACTGACATGCAGGCGACCAATGAGGTTCATAGTTTTGGAGGTGCGTCTTCGCCACTCAGGTCCCCTCAGTGTCAATCGGTTTCAATATCCATGCAAGATATGGGCGACCCCCAGGGGGAGGGCCTTCTCTGTGGCAGCACCTGCCCTTTGGAACGACCTGCCCCCGGAGATACGTATGATACCAGATCTCCGGGCTTTTCGCCATGCCCTAAAAACCTCTCTTTTTCACCAAGCAGGGCTGGCGTAACCCCCCCCCCCTTTTATTTGAGATGTTAGATTTTTAATTGTCTATGGGTTTTAGTTGGGATTTTAATTTAGGCCAAAATTGTGTAATTCTTTTAACAAGTTTTAAATTTTGTATTGGGATGTTTTTATTTTGGCTGTGCACCACACTGAGAGTCCAGTAGGAGAAGGGTGGTATACAAATTTAATAAAATAAAATAAATAAATAAGATAATACAGTGTACAGTACAGAAAAATATACATTCCGTTAAATTTCAAAAAAATAATAAAAACCTTACAACTCCAGACAGGGATCGGGGAAAAAAAATCAGATTTGCACTTAAAAAAATTCTTTACTGGATACCCTCCCAACATCTTGGAGGACCTGGATGGGGAGGGGGGAGGAATTGCCTGAGGAGGCCTCTCTAGGGGAAAGCACTCTCTGGTTGCAATTTCCAAAGGCATCCCAGAGGCGAGAAAGCCCCTCCTTTCCCTTCCTTTCTTTCCCTCATTCCTAGTTGCAAATTGGGGGGGGGGGGGAATCTTGCAAAGGTGACCTTTAGATGCTTCTTATTGGTTGTTCCTGCAGTCGCCTCTTTCTCCCTGCGGAGATCTTTCTGCTGGTCCTTCTTGATCATTTCCTATGAGATTTTCTCTGGTGCAGTTTTGGGGTCCTGGAGCTGCTGTTTGGGGGAATCCCTCCCGAGGATCCCTCCCAGAAGAGATCACCAGGTAAGCTTTCCTCCTGATGCCCTTTAATCCTCGAAGTGGACTTTGCCTGCCTTTCCTTCCTGTGTGGATTTCTTTTTATTTTCTTATGTACTGTGTTATTACAGGTAGCCCTTGGCTTCCGACCACCATTGAGCCCAAATTTTATGTTGCTAAGCGAGTCTTGCCTGATTTTACGGCTTTTTTTTTTTTTGGTCACATTCGTTCAGTGAATCACTGCAGCTGCTAAGTTAGTAACCTGGTTGTTAAGTGAATTTGGCTTCCCCATGGACTTTGCTTGACAGCAGGTGACAAAAAGGGATCCCATCAGGAGTGAGTTTCAAATCCTGTTGCTACTGGTTTCCTCGTGGGCGCATGTGCGTGTGAAGCTTCTGTGTATGCGCAGAGAAGTCTGGGCGGGTGGGCAGTGCCTCCCGTCGCTGCCGCTACCAGTTCGCCCGATCTGGGGTGAACCGGTAGCAACCCACCACAGGAACACATGACCCCAGGGTACTGCAACCATCATAAATGCGAGTCTGTTATCGAGTATCCGAATGTGAATCACGTGACCATGGGGATGCTGCAGTGGTCATAAAGGTGATGAAAATGGTCATAAGTCACTTTTTTCAGTGCCGTTGTAACTTCGAACAGTCACTAAGTGAACTGTTGTAAATCGAGTACCACTGGTACATCACCACTCAAGAAAGTCTCCTGGCAATTAAAAAGAAACCAGTCTTTCCAATAAGCTGTTCGGAAAGGTGAAGAATTATCAGACATGGGGGAAGATGATCAGCATACCTCCATGGGATATGGGGTGGGATGTTGTTGAAAATATCTAGGATCTCTGCGGTGCTTTACGGCATGAATTCTCCACTTTAAGTTGCATCCTTATTCCTCCTGGGAATCCAAGGAGAACCATAAGGTTGACCAGTTACTGTACATTGCCAATCTCAGCAACCCAGATGGGCTGCTGAGATTGATGGGCTGTTCTCTACTCAAAGGCTGTTCTCTATTCAAAGGCCCTGCTGCTTGCTGGCCCCCCAGTCAGCATACACAAAGAACAGCTTTTCTGAATTTAATGCTCCATAATTTAGGAAGGCTGTTTTTATAACAAATAATTCTTCTATTTTTCTTTCTCATTCTCAGAGACAAGAGCATCATCGATGGTATCTTGCAGAACATCTATTGTCTGTGGTGGAGGAATAGCAGCAGTTATGCTTTCAAGGAAGGTAGGAAGATATTTTCCTCAAACTGCAAATGTCATTCAGCATAATCCAGCTGTTCTGTCCCCTCCCACGAGTGGCCTTGCAGAGGCTCAAATAGCCCGGCAATAACAAACGCAGGCTAGAGAGGCTGAAGCTGGCCCTTTAATAAATAGTTCTCTTCCAAACAGTATATCAGTCCAATAGTTACCAGGCAACGTTCCAAAGGTCTTGGCAGACGGCCAGCAGACTAATGCAGGAATGCAGACTCTTGTCAAAAAAACTCCAAACTAACATGTTGTAAATCCACTGCATCCAACACGCCAACAAATTGTTCACCATGCCTTTCCAGCCCAGTTACACCCCTTTTATACTTTGTAGGGTGTGGCCCTACGTCTCCTGACCATACCTCTTGGGACGTGGCAATAGCTGTTCTCTACGACGTCTCCTACGTCTCTCTCTTGCATCCAATAGAGGCTCCGCCTCGTCGTTACCGGCCTCTGTTTCCTCCTCAATTTGGCTGGGGTCCAGAGGCATGTCAGCAACTGTCAGTTCTTGCTGACTCACCAGTGAAGACGGCCCCTTCGGCTCATAGCTCGTGACAGCTTCCTCCTCCTCCATATCATCCTCCAACTCAGCATGTGAAGATAAATCAGCCTCCGGGCTGGGGTCACAACACCAGCACTGTCCACAATGTATGTGTGTGCACGTGCACAGAGGGAGTCTGTTTTCATGAGCAGCTTCCTTATACTTTGATAGGAAGTCGCACAGTGCTGTATTTGTGAAGGTGATTATTTCAGGAGGAACTATCTTACAGTACAAAGCCACCCTTTTCCTCCTTGGACGCTGAGTAGAACATACTTGATAATATAATTGTGGTCTCAACTTTGCAATGTGTGACCATGTAATATTATTGTTTCAAAAGTAGTTTCAAAGAATATAGGCTAAATATTATACAAATACATTTCATGGAGATGTAGAAGTGAAAACTAGGATGAAATTAGGATGATAGTTTGAATGAGGCTACTGTGGTTTACTGACATATGTCAAGGTGTTCTTAAAAAGATGCACAAGGAATATTTCCAGTTTATATTTTATAGTATACAGTCAACTATTCTTTTTCTAGTCGTCTGCCAACTCTCTAATTCCTTGAAGTCTGCTTTGATATGTGAAAATGTGATAAGATTCATCTTTATTCTTAAACTGTTCTGCAATAGAATATTTCATTTTATTCTTCTCAGTCCCCACTATTAGCAAGGTGCTTTGATCCTATTTCATCTGTATCCTTGGACTTTGTGGAAGGGTGTACAACAAATGATACTGCTACACATTACATAGACTGTGGTTATATTACAGAGTGCCTTCCATGTAGAACCTATCTTGGAACAAGACAGCTTCTTGCTACAAAATGTTTCCTCCTGAAATACATTTTTCCCACATGGAAGAAGAACAAGGTACATATAGCTTCACATGATTGCTTATGATTCAAAAAGAGTCTTCTTGTGATATAAAGTTCCAGGTGAACTAGTTTGAAATAAACACAGATATTTACTCAAAACTCCTTTTGGCATATTCTCTCAGATAGAGCATCTTGATATATGTCAATAAACTCCAGTGGCCTCACCGTGGTTATTTGGTTTATTATAATTTCCACTCATGTCATCTGCAAATAGATGGAATCTCAGCATCTCATGGTACTTCCCAGAGTCCTTCTCCCAACATCTTCATATACCTCTTCAGTAAGTATTGTGTTGGGGGACAACATAAGGCAGTATCTGAACTGTCAGGTAGGACTCTTATCAATTGACAGAAAAGGAATTTAGGATGCTGCTCCTGTAGAATTAGCCAAAATCACAAAAGTCTGTCACAGGTGAATTTCCAATCAGAGGCCTGTAACTCTGCCCATTTTCTCCAGGGAACTTGTTTATTTATCTTACTTGAAAGCAGGAAGTTTTCTTTAAAAAGAAATCTTGCATTGTTCCGTAATAAGAGACTTTTTAAAATATGCTGTTCTTGTTTCAGAATTCCATTTCTTTTGAAGATGTAGCTGTGTTTTTCTCCATGGAGGAATGGGGCCTGTTGGACTTGAAGCAAAGAACCCTGTATCGAGAAGTCATGTTGGAAAACGCAAGGAACGTTGCCTCTTTAAGTAAGGGATTCTGTTTTTTCTGGACTGAAATTATGGTGGAAGGTATTTTCTAGCCAGACATAAACAGCTGATTTATTTCTCAGAGAAAATGCTGCCCTTTTCCTTTTCTATAGTGGAGAAGAGTGTCCTTGTCTGCCTTACTACTCCTATTTGGTTAACTTCATGATCTCTTCAGAAAGAGGAGAGGGGCCCTCCATGTAGTATCCAATTCTCTTTCTCCCACTTTGTGGATAAATTTATGTTCTCTTTCCTTTTCATGTTCTTTTCTGTCTGTAATGATTGCATTTGGAAACCCAGTTAATCACACAGGGCGCATCACAAGGACGTAACTGCCAGAGAAGGCTGTCTGATGGGACTCGAGACATGGGACATTCCACCCAGATTGCCTTTCAGTGACCTGTCTCATGTAATGTGCTCCAATATTGGTTATTAGTCATGTTTGCTGTCAAGGAATACGCAATAGCCTTCTCTAGCACCACAGCTCAATTTTCTTCCTGTCTTGCTTTTATAAGATCCAACTTCCAAAATCATATAGGTAACTATGGGGACCATAATAGAACGGACTAACCTACATATGGTTGCCAGGTAGATGTCCTTGTTTTTCCATATTTGGCTCATGTTCATCACTGCTGTGCGACCCAATGCAATCTGAAGTTTTATTTCTGGGCTCCATTCACTACTTTGAGCGCAATGCGATCCTAAGAAAGTGAATTTTTCCATGCATTCTATCTCTTCACCATCAATTTTGAGATTTTATTTTGAGATTTCCATTCCTTTGGTAATATTCAAATATTTGGTAATATTCAAATAAGGGACGAAAAAAGGGTGCTCGAACCCTTTCACACCTCAGTTTGTGTCAACTTCCTTTTTTTTCTGTTCCAAACAGGTGATGAATGGCAAATGGAGGGTTCCGGACAAGAGGTAGCAGCACCTTTTCCAAAAGAAGAAAAAGAAGTTGTGAAAAGGTTGTTTGGAAAGGAAAGTTCTGAGGAAAACCAATTAAAAGGGAGGCTGGAGAAATGCTGTGTTGATATCAGTGTCTTCTTGGCTGAAGATGATCACCACGAAAAAGGAACGTGTCCATCGTGTGGAAAAATTCTTAGAGATGAATTGGAATTATGTGACTGTTCCAGTAGCCACACAGTAAAACAACAAAATAAAAGCAGGAAACGCTTCAGAAGGACTATTCCTCTTACCTTAAGTCAGGGCATAAAAGTTGGAGAAAAACCATATAAATGCCTGGAATGCGGAAAGAGCTTCAGAGACTCAAGTTATCTTACTTCCCATAAAAGAATCCACACAGGAGAGAAACCATATGAATGCAAGGAATGTGGAAAGAGATTCCATTTTGCCACAAGCCTCACTTCCCATAATAGGAGTCACACAGGTGAGAAACCTTATGAATGCCAGGATTGTGGAAAACGCTTCACTATCTCTGGTTCCCTCATTTCTCATAAAAGAATCCATACTGGAGAAAAGCCATATCAATGCCAGCAATGTGGGAAGAGTTTCAGATCTTCAGGTTTTCTTAGTTCTCATAAAAGGTTCCACACAGAGGAGAAACCATATAAATGTACAGAGTGTGGAAAGTGCTTCACCATTTCAGGTTCCCTCACTTGCCATAAAAGAATCCACACTGGGGAGAAACCATACCATTGCAAGAACTGCGGAAAGAGCTTCAGACAAAAATATCATTATACTGTACATTACAGAATCCATACTGGGGAGAAACCATATAAATGTCTGGAATGTGAAAAGAGTTTCCGTTCTGCAAAACATCTTATTTCCCATAAAAGAATTCACACAGGGGAAAAACCATATAAATGCCAGGAGTGTGGAAAGAGCTTCAACGATTCTCAAGACCTTATTGCTCATAACAGGATCCACACAGGAGAGAAACCATGTAAGTGTATGGAGTGTGGAAAGAGCTTCCGTTCTAAAAAACACCTTACTTATCATAAAAGGATCCACAGAGGAGATAAACCACACAAGTGTATGGAGTGTGGAAAGAGCTTCCGTTCTATAAAACACCTAACTTACCATACAAGGATTCATACAGGGGAGAAACCATATAAATGCCAGGAGTGTGGAAAATGCTTCACTATGCCAGGTTCCCTCACTTCCCATAAAAGGATTCATAGTGGGGAAAAGCCATATAAGTGCATGGAATGCGAAAAGAGTTTCACAACCAGCAGTCACCTTAGTCGCCACAAGAGGATCCACACAGGGGACAGACCACATAAATGCAGTGAATGTGGAAAAAACTTTATACGAAGTAATGCACTTAAGAAACATGGAAAGATTCACTCAGAGGAAAAATCCAGTAAGGTAGACTGGAAAGGGTTTCTGCATTACTAGAAATTTCGTATGATTCCATTATAAAACCCTATAAATGCATGGACTGTGAAAAGGGCTATAGTACTAGCACCAATCTACTTCTGATATTTCACACAGAGAGAAACCATATACATGTGGAAATTCCAGAATGGCAGAATTGTTCTCACAAAAGCATCCAGAACGGAGAGAATCCATATAATTGCTTAGTGTATGAAAGAGCTTCACAACCAGAACTGACCTTAGTTCCCACAAGAGGATCCACATTGGTGAGAAATCATAAGTATACGTTGTGTGGAAAGGATTTTACTCAGCATCAATCACCTTATGGGCATAGGAAAATTAGTTTGTGGGAAACTTACAAAACGCAAAAATAAGTAACAGATCCCCTAAATGAATTGTTTGACAAAAAGACCACAGGTAGCCCGCAATTATTGAAATTACAACTGGCAACCCCATTGCTAAATGACATTGTCACTAAGCGAAGTGTCATGTGTCATGTGTCTGTGCTAGACTGATGTAATTCCACAGTGGTGGTTAAGCAAATAACTGCGGGATAAGCACAACATCACATGAACATAACTTGCAATTGACTCTGCTTGTCAGAAGCTGGCTGTGAAGCTGGCTGCATTTGACTACAAGAGTGATGTAACGACCCGATGTCCGAGAAATGGCTGTAAATGTACTTTTTCAGCATTGCCTTTTCTTTCATGTACACTGAGAGCATATGCACCAAGATAAATTCCAATCACACTTGGCCAATAAAAAAATCTATTCAGTTCAGTTCTGTTCTGTTCTGTTCTGTTCTATTTTCTATTAACACCGTCCTGAGTCCGAAAGGAGAAGGGCGGTATAGAAATTTGAATAATAAATAAATAAATAATAATAAACAAGCCACTTGGCAAGAGAGAACAATTGGCATAACACTCATGCTATCCCTGTTGTACAGGCTGCTCAGTACAAGGTCTGTCTTCCTCACTTTTGCGATGAAGAAAACACCGGGTTGGTTCTAAGGCAACTTTGGCTTTGCTGTCACCATGTAATATACTGAATAAAGATCTATCTTTTGGTTTTCTTTCTTGGTTTCAAAAAAAGAGTTTTATAAAATATCAATCTTATAACTTTTATTCTTAATCTTTCTAAATGCACTTTTAACACAGAGGGGCAAGAAAGGAATACCTGAGATGTTACAAAGAAGAAAGCTTTTCTTCCCAAATAATATTCTCTACTTAATTATGGAGCTATGTTTCCATCCCGACTTTGGATTGAAGTCCTGCCCTCCCCCACCCGCCGCGTAACTACTTAGGGATGCCATCCAAAGTAGAGATTCTCAGATCAAAAAGAGTTTGAATCATTTCTGATTGGTCCGGTGTTAGTTTTCACTAATTAGAAAAGTAGCTTGTGATGAAAGGTGACTGGTTAGAGTTTATCTTTTCAGTTTATCTTTGCAGACCCAATAAATGGAAATATTTTACTTATAATCTGCAGACAGCAAGGAATTTAATAAGGCATCTAAGGAGCCCATTTCATGAAAGGTTGAATTCATGACAAAAATAGGTATTTCAAAATAAATATAAAACTCATCAAGAAATTTAAATTGTCCAAGCAGTGAGAAGTATTTGATCAAGCACTTTATGTGGGTGTCCTCTAAATATCCAAGGAGATGCAAGTTTTTGGATTTGCCTCCCTGAAGGCTCCATCTTGAAGTGTATTGTTATGTAGAGTTGGGTTCCTTCTTGTGGAGCAGAGTCTTCAGAATCTAATATTGCTTACTTCGAAGAGCTTTATTATGGTTTTATGCTGCCACACTCCACAAGCCCTCATGCTAATGTACAATTAAAGCCAGGTAAGCATCCTTGCTATCCCTTCTTCAAGAATATTTTGTTCAAGTGGCATTCTGCAAAACAGCTGAATCTCTCTTCCAGATTGGGGTCCCTTCAATAGTAGCCAAGTTTTCAAAGCAGGAGCAGTTTCCCAACAATCTGGCATTATTTGCATATTGACAACATGCTGCCTGGCTTTCTGAGGGAAAGGATGTCTTTAGCACTTGGCCACCAGGGAAGGATGTCTTTAGCACTTGGCCCAAGCACAACATGAAATTCGAAATACAACATGAAATTCGAAATACAAAAGTTGGCTTTGCTTCCTCTTTGATGTTATAGATAGTCCTTGACTTGTGACCACAATTGGAATTGGATCTTCTGTGGCTGCTACGTGGGGTCTGGTCTGCCCAATTTTATGAACTTTTGGGTAAAGTTAAATCGATAACACACAGTCTTTAAGCCAATTCAGCTTGTCTGATTTGAGTTATTTTGTTAGAAACCAGCTGGGATAGTCACAAAGGATATTACATGGGAGTACATGATGCTGGGAACCTGCAGCGGTTCTGAAATTTTACAGTATACACAATAGCTGGGTGTTTTTTTTAAAATTAGCGCTGTTCTTTTTTAGCCAGGCTTTAAATTCAGATTCCTGCAGCTATTCATTTTCAAATGATTGCATATACCATGTTTTCCCTCCCCACTTTGGCAAAACCTCACTCATCCTAATTAATAAGGGTGTATACTGAAAATATATATTGGAATTTGAGAGCATGCGCACACATTACAGTGAAAGACTAACAGCGCTCCCAGTGAGTGAGACTCTATGGCTGAATAACGGTCTTAGGAAGAGAGAGAGGAGGGAGGCCGAAGGTGCCTCTTCCGGTGCCAAAGTCGAATATCCGGGCCAGGAATCTGCCCCCTCTGCTGGGTGGACCAATGATTCCAGTCCCACTGTGACTGACATGCAGGCGACCAATGAGGTTCATAGTTTTGGAGGTGCGTCTTCGCCACTCAGGTCCCCTCAGTGTCAATCGGTTTCAATATCCATACAAGATATGGGCGACCCCCAGGGGGAGGGCCTTCTCTGTGGCAGCACCTGCCCTTTGGAACGACCTGCCCCCGGAGATACTTATGATACCAGATCTCCGGGCTTTTCGCCGTGCCCTAAAAACCTCTCTTTTTCACCAAGCAGGGCTGGCGTAACCCCCCCCCCTTTTTCTGAGATGTTAGATTTTTAATTGTCTATGGGTTTTAGTTGGGATTTTAAATTTAGGCCAAAATTGTGTAATTCTTTTAACAAGTTTTAAATTTTGTATTGGGATGTTTTTATTTTGGCTGTGCACCACACTGAGTCCAGTAGGAGAAGGGTGGTATACAAATTTAATAAAATAAAATAAATAAATAATACAGTGTACAATACAGAAAAATATGCATTCCGTTAAATTTCAAAAAAATAATAAAAACCTTACAACTCCAGACAGGGATTGGGGAAAAAAAATCAGATTTGCACTTTAAAAATTTTTTTTACTGGATACCTCCCAACATCTTGGAGGACCTGGATGGGGAGGGGGGAGGAATTGCCTGAGGAGGCCTCTCTAGGGGGAAGCTCTCTGTGGTTGCAATTTCCAAAGGCATCCCAGAGGCGAGAAAGCCCCTCCTTTCCCTTCCTTTCTTTCCCTCATTCCTAGTTGCAAATTGGGGGGAAAATCTTGCAAAGGTTTTAGATGCTTTAGATGCTTCTTATTGGTTGTTCCTGCAGTCGCCTCTTTCTCCCTGCGGAGATCTTTCTGCTGGTCCTTCCTGATCATTTCCTATGAGATTTTCTCTGGTGCAGTTTTGGGGTCCTGGAGCTGCTGTTTGGGGAATCCCTCCCGAGGATCCCTCCCAGAAGAGATCACCAGGTAAACTTTCCTCCTGATGCCCTTTAATCCTGGAAGTGGATTTTGCCTTCCTTTCCTTCCGGCGTGGATTTCTTTTTATTTTCTTATGTACTGTGTTATTACAGGTAGCCCTTGGCTTCCGACCACCATTGAGCCCAACATTTATGTTGCTAAGCGAGAAATTTGTTAAATGAGTCTTGCCCGATTTTACGGCTTTTTTTTTTTTTTTTTGGTCACATTCGTTCAGTGAATCACTGTAGCTGCTAAGTTAGTAACCTGGTTGTTAAGTGAATTTGGCTTCCCCATGGACTTTGCTTGGCAGCAGGTGACAAAAAGGGATCCCATCAGGAGTGAGTTTCAAATCCTGTCGCTACTGGTTTGCTCGTGGGCGCATGTGCGTGTGAAGCTTCTGTGTATGCGCAGAGAAGTCTGGGCGGGTGGGCAGAGCCTCCCGTCGCTGCCGCTACCAGTTCGCCCGATCTGGGGTGAACCGGTAGCAACCCACCACAGGAACACATGACCCCAGGGTACTGCAACCATCATAAATGCGAGTCGGTTATCGAGTATCCGAATGTGAATCACGTGACCATGGGGATGCTGCAGTGGTCATAAAGGTGATGAAAATGGTCATAAAGGTGATGAAAATGGTCATAAGTCACTTTTTTCAGTGCCATTGTAACTTCAAACAGTCACTAAGTGAACTGTTGTAAATCGAGTACCACTGGTACATCACCACTCAAGAAAGTCTCCTGGCAATTAAAAAGAAACCAGTCTTTCCAATAAGTTGTTCCAAAAGGTGAAGAATTATCAGACATGGGGGGAAGATGATCAGCATACCTCCATGGGATATGGGGTGGGATGTTGTTGAAAATATCTAGGATCTCTGCGGTGCTTTACGGCATGAATTCTCCACTTTAAGTTGCATCCTTATTCCTCCTGGGAATCCAAGGAGAACCATAAGGTTGACCAGTTACTGTACATTGCCAATCTCAGCAACCCAGATGGGCTGCTGAGATTGATGGGCTGTTCTCTACTCAAAGGCTGTTCTCTATTCAAAGGCCCTGCTGCTTGCTGGCCCCCCAGTCAGCATACACAAAGAACAGCTTTTCTGAATTTAATGCTCCAGAATTTAGGAAGGCTGTTTTTATAACAAATAATTCTTCTATTTTTCTTTCTCATTCTCAGAGACAAGAGCATCATCGATGGTATCTTGCAGAACATCTATTGTCTGTGGTGGAGGAATAGCAGCAGTTATGCTTTCAAGGAAGGTAGGAAGATATTTTCCTCAAACTGCAAATGTCATTCAGCATAATCCAGCTGTTCTGTCCCCTCCCACGAGTGGCCTTGCAGAGGCTCAAATAGCCCGGCAATAACAAATGCAGGCTAGAGAGGCTGAAGCTGGCCCTTTAATAAATAGTTCTCTTCCAAACAGTATATCAGTCCAATAGTTACCAGGCAACGTTCCAAAGGTCTTGGCAGACGGCCAGCAGACTAATGCAGGAATGCAGACTCTTGTCAAAAAAACTCCAAACTAACATGTTGTAAATCCACTGCATCCAACACGCCAACAAATTGTTCACCATGCCTTTCCAGCCCAGTTACACCCCTTTTATACTTTGTAGGGTGTGGCCCTACGTCTCCTGACCATACCTCTTGGGACGTGGCAATAGCTGTTCTCTACGACGTCTCCTACGTCTCTCTCTTGCATCCAATAGAGGCTCCGCCTCGTCGTTACCGGCCTCTGTTTCCTCCTCAATTTGGCTGGGGTCCAGAGGCATGTCAGCAACTGTCAGTTCTTGCTGACTCACCAGTGAAGACGGCCCCTTCGGCACATAGCTCGTGACAGCTTCTTCCTCCTCCATATCATCCTCCAACTCAGCATGCGAAGATAAATCAGCCCTCCGGGGCCGGGTCACAACACCAGCACTGTCCACAATGTATGTGTGTGCACGTGCACAGGGGGAGTCTGTTTTCATGAAATCGATATTTGATAGGAAGTCGCACAGTGCTGTATTTGTGAAGGTAATTATTTCAGGAGGAACTATCTTACAATACAAAGCCACCCTTTTCCTCCTTGGATGCTGAGTAGAACGTACTTGATAATATAATTATGGTCTCAACTCTGCAATGTGTGACCATGTAATATTATTGTTTCAAAAGTAGTTTCAAAGAATATAGGCTAAATATTATACAAATACATTTCATGGAGATGTAGAAGTGAAAACTAGGATGAAATTAGGATGATAGTTTGAATGAGGCTACTGTGGTTTACTGACATATGTCAAGGTGTTCTTAAAAAGATGCACAAGGAATGTTTCCAGTTTATATTTTATAGTATACAGTCAACTATTCTTTTTCTAGTCGTCTGCCAACTCTATAATTCCTTGAAGTCTGCTTTGATATGTAAAAATGTGATAAGATTCATCTTTATTCTTAAACAGTTCTGCAATAGAATATTTCATTTTATTCTTCTCAGTCCCCACTATTAGCAAGGTGCTTTGATCCTATTTCATCTGTATCCTTGGACTTTGTGGAAGGGTGTACAACAAATGATACTGCTACACATTACATAGACTGTGGTTATATTACAGAGTGCCTTCCATGCAGAACCAATCTTGAAACAAGACAGCTTCTTGCTACAAAATGTTTCCTCCTGAAATACATTTTTCCCACATGGAAGAAGAACAAGGTACATATAGCTTCACATGATTGCTTATGATTCAAAAAGAGTCTTCTTGTGATATAAAGTTCCAGGTGAATTAGTTTGAAATAAACACAGATATTTACTCAAAACTCCTTTTGGCATATTCTCTCAGATAGAGCATCTTGATATATGTCAATAAACTCCAGTGGCCTCACCGTGGTTATTTGGTTTATTATAATTTCCACTCATGTCATCTGCAAATAGATGGCATCTCAGCATCTCATGGTACTTCCCAGAGTACTTCTCCCAACATCTTCATATACCTCTTCAGTAAGTATTGTGTTGTGGGACAACATAAGGCAGTATCTGAACTGTCGGGTAGGACTCTATCAATTGACAGAAAAGGAATTTAGGATGCTCCTCCTGTAGAATTAGCCAAAATCACAAAAGTCTGTCACAGGTGAATTTCCAATCAGAGGCCTGTAACTCTGCCCATTTTCTCCAGGGAACTTGTTTATTTATCTTACTTGAAAGCAGGAAGTTTTCTTTAAAAAGAAATATTGCATTGTTCCGTAATAAGAGACTTTTTAAAATATGCTGTTCTTGTTTCAGAATTCCATTTCTTTTGAAGATGTAGCTGTGTTTTTCTCCATGGAGGAATGGGGCCTGTTGGACTTGAAGCAAAGAACCCTGTATCGAGAAGTCATGTTGGAAAACGCAAGGAACGTTGCCTCTTTAAGTAAGGGATTCTTTTTTTCTGGACTGAAATTATGGTGGAAGGTATTTTCTAGCCAGACATAAACAGCTGATTTATTTCTCAGAGAAAATGCTGCCCTTTTCCTTTTCTATAGTGGAGAAGAGTGTCCTTGTCTGCCTTACTACTCCTATTTGGTTAACTTCATGATCTCTTCAGAAAGAGGAGAGGGGCCCTCCCATGTAGTATCCAATTCTCTTTCTCCCACTTTGTGGATAAATTTATGTTCTCTTTTCCTTTTCATGTTCTTTTCTGTCTGTAATGATTGCATTTGGAAACCCAGTTAATCACACAGGGCGCATCACAAGGACGTAACTGCCAGAGAAGGCTGTCTGATGGGACTCGAGACATGGGACATTCCACCCAGATTGCCTTTCAGTGACCTGTCTCATGTAATGTGCTCCAATATTGGTTATTAGTCATGTTTGCTGTCAAGGAATACGCAATAGCCTTCTCTAGCACCACAGCTCAATTTTCTTCCTGTCTTGCTTTTATAAGATCCAACTTCCAAAATCATATAGGTAACTATGGGGACCATAATAGAACGGACTAACCTACATATGGTTGCCAGGTAGATGTCCTTGTTTTTCCATATTTGGCTCATGTTCATCACTGCTGTGCGACCCAATGCAATCTGAAGTTTTATTTCTGGGCTCCATTCACTACTTTGAGCGCAATGCGATCCTAAGAAAGTGAATTTTTCCATGCATTCTATCTCTTCACCATCAATTTTGAGATTTTATTTTGAGATTTCCATTCCTTTGGTAATATTCAAATATTTGGTAATATTCAAATAAGGGACGAAAAAAGGGTGCTCGAACCCTTTCACACCTCAGTTTGTGTCAACTTCCTTTTTTTTTCTGTTCCAAACAGGTGATGAATGGCAAATGGAGGGTTCCGGACAAGAGGTAGCAGCACCTTTTCCAAAAGAAGAAAAAGAAGTTGTGAAAAGGTTGTTTGGAAAGGAAAGTTCTGAGGAAAACCAATTAAAAGGGAGGCTGGAGAAATGCTGTGTTGATATCAGTGTCTTCTTGGCTGAAGATGATCACCACGAAAAAGGAACGTGTCCATCGTGTGGAAAAATTCTTAGAGATGAATTGGAATTATGTGACTGTTCCAGTAGCCACACAGTAAAACAACAAAATAAAAGCAGGAAACGCTTCAGAAGGACTATTCCTCTTACCTTAAGTCAGGGCATAAAAGTTGGAGAAAAACCATATAAATGCCTGGAATGCGGAAAGAGCTTCAGAGACTCAAGTTATCTTACTTCCCATAAAAGAATCCACACAGGAGAGAAACCATATGAATGCAAGGAATGTGGAAAGAGATTCCATTTTGCCACAAGCCTCACTTCCCATAATAGGAGTCACACAGGTGAGAAACCTTATGAATGCCAGGACTGTGGAAAACGCTTCACTATTTCTGGTTCTCTCATTTACCATAAAAGGATCCACACCGGAGAGAAACCATATAAATGCCAGGAATGTGGAAAATGCTTCACTATCTCTGGTTCCCTCACTTCTCATAAAAGAATCCATACTGGAGAAAAGCCGTATCAATGCCAGGAATGTGGGAAGAGTTTCAGATCTTCAGGTTTTCTTACTTCTCATAAAAGGTTCCACACAGAGGAGAAACCATATAAATGTACAGAGTGTGGAAAGTGCTTCACCAATTCAGGTTCCCTCACTTGCCATAAAAGAATCCACACTGGGGAGAAACCATACCATTGCAAGAACTGCGGAAAGAGCTTCAGACAAAAATATCATTATACTGTACATTACAGAATCCATACTGGGGAGAAACCATATAAATGTCTGGAATGTGAAAAGAGTTTCCGTTCTGGAAAACATCTTATTTCCCATAAAAGAATTCACACAGGGGAAAAACCATATAAATGCCAGGAGTGTGGAAAGAGCTTCAATGATTCTCAAGATCTTATTGCTCATAACAGGATCCACACAGGAGAGAAACCATATAAGTGTATGGAGTGTGGAAAGAGCTTCCGTTCTAAAAAACACCTTACTTATCATAAAAGGATCCACAGAGGAGATAAACCACACAAGTGTATGGAGTGTGGAAAGAGCTTCCGTTCTATAAAACACCTAACTTACCATACAAGGATTCATACAGGGGAGAAACCATATAAATGCCAGGAGTGTGGAAAATGCTTCACTATGCCAGGGTCCCTCACTTCCCATAAAAGGATTCATAGTGGGGAAAAGCCATATAAATGTACAGAGTGTGGAAAGTGTTTCATAGGTTCAAGTTTTCTGACTTCCCATAAAAGGTTCCACACTGAGGAGAAACCATATAAATGCACCGAGTGTGGAAAGTGCTTCACTTATTCAGGTTCTCTCACTTCCCATAAAAAGATCCACACTGGGGAGAAACCATACGAGTGCAGGGAATGTGGAAAGAACTTCAGTCAAAAATATAATTATACTGTACATAACAGAATCCACACCGGAGAGAAACCATATATATGCACAGTGTGTGGAAAGAGCTTCCGCAAGAGTATCAATCTTAATTCCCATAAAAGGATACACACTGGGGAGAAACCTTATAAATGTATGGAGTGCGGAAAAGGTTTCATAAGCAGCAGTACGCTTAGTCACCACAGGAGGATCCACACAGGGGAGAAATCGTACAAATGCGATGAATGTGGAAAATGCTTCTCTAATTCAAGTTCCCTTGTTTCCCACAAAAGGATCCACACAGGGGAAAAACGATACAAATGCGATGAATGTGGGAAATGCTTCACTAATTCAAGTTCCCTGACTTCCCATAAAAGAATCCACACAGGGGAGAAACCATATAAGTGTGTGGAATGCAAAAAGAGTTTCACAACCAGCAGTCACCTCAGTCGTCACAAGAGGATCCACACAGGGGAGAAACCATATAAATGCAGTGACTGTGGAAAATGCTTCAGACAAATTAGTGCACTTAATACTCATAGAAAGATTCACTCAGGAGAGAAATCAGGTAAGCGTGTAGACCGTGGGAAGAGTTTCCGTAATAGCAGAAGCGTCATATGATTCTATTATAAAACCATAGAAATGTATGGAATGTGGAAATGGCTATAGTAAGACCCCCAGTTTGCTTCTGATAGTTTACACAGTGAGAAACCATCTAAGTTTGCTAATTGTGGAAAGAGTTTCTGCGGTAGCAGAATTGTTCTTTCTCAGAAATGCATCCATCCCGGAGAGAATCCATATAAATGCCCGGAGCATGGAAAAAAGTTCAGACTGAGCAGTTGCCACAAGAGAATCCACATTGGTGAGAAATTATAAATGTATGATGTGTGGAAAGGGATTTGCTGTCCCAAAGGTGCTTTTTCAAGAGGCAACTGGACTTTGGGTTTTTTTGGAAGATGTTTCGCTTCTCATCCAAGAAGCTTCTTCAGCTCTGAAGAGCTTCTTAGATGAGAAGCGAAACGTCTTCAAAGGAAAAAAACAACAACAAAGTCCAGTTGCCTCTTGAAAAAAGCACCTTTGGGACAATCATGACCTGGATGACTGGGAATTTCCATAGACAAAGGGATTTGCTCAATCTCAGTCCTTTTATGGGCATAGGAAAATTAATTCATGAGAAACCGTTAAAAGTAATAGAACTACCTAAATGTATTGTGTGACAAAAATTTTGGAGACTATAGGTAGTCTGCAATTATCGCAATTGAAACTGACAACTCCAGCACTAAACAACACTTGTCACCAAACAAAGTATCGTGTCTGTGCTGGACTGATGTCAGTCACTCCACTGTGGTGGTGAAGCAAATAAAGGTGGGTTAAGTATGACATCACACGATCATGTCTTTCGATTTACTGCCAGCTTCCCATTGACTCTGCTTCTCAGAAGCTGGCTGTGAAGCTGGCTGCATTAGACCACAAGAATGATGCAACAGCCCTACATTCAAGAACTGGTTGCAAATGTACTTTTTCAGCATTGTCATTACTTTGAACAGTTGCTTGCACTCAGCAAGAGAAAACAACTTGCATAACACTCATGCTATCCCTGTTGTACAGACTACTCAGTACAAGGGCTGTTGGTGGTGTATTTACTCTTCCTTGCTGTCTTGGGATGAAGAAAACACCATGCTGGTGGTTCCAAGGTAACCTTGGTTTTGCTGTCACCATGTAACTAACTAAATAAATAAACTTTACTAAATAAAGATATATCTTTTGATTTTTCTTTCTTTCTTTCTTTCAAAGACTAGTCTCCATAATTCTTATAAGTGTCATTCTCCTAACTCTCCTTCTATCTCTCTAAATGCACTTTTAACAGATGCAGAGAGGCAGGTAAGGAATATCACAGTTACAAAGAAGATGAAAGCTTTTCTTCCATAGGCTCCAAATAAAATTCTCCATGTAATTTATGGAGCCATGGTTGTATCCCGAGTTTGGGTTGAAGTTCAGCCCCATAGGGATGCCATTCAAAGCAGAGATTCACTGATTGAGAAGAATAAACCATTACTGATTGGTCCAAGGTACAGTATTTTTTGGACTATAAGACGCACTGGTGTATAAGACACACAAAGATTTCGAAGAGGTAAGTAAGAAAAAGTTTTTTGCTCTCCTCAGCCCCCAAGAGCACTCTGCAGGCCTCCCAAACCCTCTGTGTGCCCCGTTTCCCCCCCGTTTTTGCAAAAAATGGGCGCGCAGAGGATTTGGGAGGCCTGCAGAGAGCTCCTGGGGGCTGGACAAAACAGCCATTTTTGCAAAAAAAAAAAAAAAAAAAAAAGCTGTCAGGATAAATGTCTAATCCTCCCAGGCAGGGGCTGGCACCTCCCCATATCCCATCATACCCCCTTACCTCAGACTCCTCCCCTGGTGTATAAAAGAGTCCTACACATGTGCATCCAGTTGTTCCAGAAGTGTACCTGCAAAGGCAAGACAGAGGTCAGTGACCTTTACCCTGAATGGGCCTAGGACCACTCCAGGCCTAAAATAAAGAATTGATGAAGAGATTCCACTGTCTCCTGTGAGTTATTGGGTTAGATCCATCCAGCATTAACAAAAGCATTCTGCAGGCCTCCCAAACTCTCTGTGCACCCCGTTTTTGTGAAAAATGGGACGAGTGGGGCAGGGCTTTGAGAGGCCAAAAATGGCTGTATTCAGTGTATAAGCCACACCATTTCCACCCTCTTTTAGGGGGGGAAAAGTGCATCTTATACTCCAAAAAATCTGGTAAATTTTCCCTAATTAGAAAAGTAGCTTGTGGTGAAAAATGACTTACTGTAGTACCTCAGGAGTTCTAGTTTTGGTTTGTTGCTGCCCTCATAAACATCCTTTTATTTATAATCTGCAGAGAAATTTAATAAGGCATCCAGGAAAGGGAACAATTCATGAAGGATTGGTTGGATGCATGACAAAAACATGTATTTCAAGATAAATATAAAACGCATCAAGAATTTAAAATTGTCCAACTAGTGGGAAGTATCTGATCAAGAGCTTCATGCTCCTAAATCTCCAAGGAGAAGCTAGTCTTTGGATTTGTCTCTCAGAAGGCTCCATCTTGTCAGGTAGAGATGGGTTCCTTCTAATAGAGCAGAGTCCTCAGAAGTTTACTAACTCTCTTGCTTCTGAGAGTTTTATTTATGATGTTTATATGCTGCCACAGTGCACAAGCACTTGTGGTAATGTACAATTAAAACCAGATAGTATTGATACCCTTTCCTCAAGAATAATTTGTTCAAGGGGATGATACAGTGGTGAAATTCAAATTTTTTTTACTACTGATTCTATGGGCGTGGCTTGGTGCACGTGGCAGGGGAAGGATACTGCAAGATCTCCATTCCCATCCCACTCCAGGGGAAGGATACTGCAAAATCTCCATTCCCACCCCACTCTGGGGCCAGCCAGAGGTGGTATTTGCCAGTTCTCAGAGCTACTCAAAATTTCCACTACCGGTTTTCCAGAACTGCTCAAAAATTCTGCTACCGGTTCTCCAGAACCTGTCAGAACCTGCTAGATTTCACCCCCGGGATGATAGCAGTGTTCCAATACCTAAGGGGCTGTCACAGAGAGGAGGGCTTAATTTATTTTCCAAAGTACATGGAGACCAGACAGGAAACAATGGATGGAAACTGATCAACGTAAAAATAAAGAGAAATTTTCTGATCGCGAGAACAATCAGCCAGTGGAACAGCTTACCTTCACAAGTGGCGGGCACTTCATCACTGGAGGCTTTCAAGAAGAAACTGGACAAGCCACTTGTCAGAAATGGTATAGGCAGGGTGTTAGGAAATTGTTATTACCCAACTGGTTGGTCAAGATCTGTTTTATTGTATTTTTCTACAACTGGTAAGAAGACTTTATATTGGAAAATATCCCTGGACTGAACTTTATCTCACTTTATATGTGTATGACTTGGAATGTTCTTGGACTATGGTTTTGCTTTTTCCCTAAAAGTAAAATATTATCAAAACCCAGTTTGTTTGTATGTGAACTGTTATTATCCACAATCATTCTCACTCGCTTTGCTTTCGTGCGTAAACTCAAAAGGGTACTCTGCTCAATAACCCACAACATTGGTTATGAGACATTTAATAAAGAATTGCAATATTTAATTGGGAATATTTTAACAGCGGCTAGAATTGCATTTGCAAAAAATTGGAAAGGAGAGAAGATAATTACTGATGAAGAAATTATTAAGAAAATGTTGGATTGTGCTGAAATGAGTAGATTGACATTTGAACTATAAGATAAACAGTATTATCTGATATGGGAGCTATTTTATCAATGGATAGATAACAAAGCATGGAGATGAAATAGATATGAAATGAAATTTGGATGAAATGTTTCGACACTTGTTTTTTGTTAGAAGAAAGAACATTCGTCATATAATGAGATTCTGAAAATTTTGAGAGCACGAAAATGATTTTAACCGATCGAAAATACCGTCTGTAATTGTTTGGAAGGATGATGTTTTTATGTTGTTTTTGTTTAAAAAATTAAAAAAAAAATTGCAAAAAAAAAAAAAGAATATCCTTAACACAGGGTCTCCTGGCTTGAGCAAAAAGGGTTGGCCTCGATGACCTGCAAAGTCCCTTCCAACTTTGTTGTTCTGTTATTGTTCCTCTCCAGATGATCACTTTGGGCGCCCTCCTCTTCCCTTAAACTTTCCAGGATTAGAAGCAGGGGCATCTTCTTGCCAAGAACCTCCTGCTTGCCCAAGTCAACAGGATTTTTTATAAAAAAAACCAAAAACCTTGCAAGGGAAAGACCGGAGGTGCCCGAATGGGGCTCTCTCCAGGAAGAACCATGCTCTGCTACCAATGTGTAAAGCCCCCCCCCCCCTCTAGCAGAGGTCCTTCCGGGGAAGGGAGGTGCAAGCGAGCCAATTGCAGCCGCGGCGCCTCGGCTGGGGGAAAAGCGTTTGCCGGCGGTGTTGTCGAGGGAGGCGGATCCTGGAGGCTGCCCTGCGCGCTTTATTTGAAGACCGGAGTCCGGACGAAGGGACACAGAGAGCCTCTGTGCCGGTCTTGGAAACGCGAGCCTTCGATGCTGCTTCTTTGAGTCGCTCAGCCGATTGTTCCCACGGCCATCGCTTTCTCCTGGTGCAGATTATTTCGCTGGCCGTGCCTCTCTGTGCCTGTGTGTGTGTGTGTGTGTGTGTGTCTTGTGTGTTGTTTCAGGACAAGAGTTAAATGGCTGCTGAAGGGGCCGGAGGAAACGTGGGCGATGGCTGTTTGGAGCTGCTGTTTGGAGGAATCGCGCAGGAGGATCCTTTTCGGAAGAGGCTATCGGGTAAAATTGGGTGCTTCCCATGCTCCGTTAATCCTCACGAGGGACTTTGCCCGGTTTTTGTTTTTTTTTGAACTTCTTTTTAGGTGTTTTGTGTTTTTTTTTAAAATAATTTTACCGTGTTTTTGATATCACCACTTGAGAAAGTCTCCTGGCGGTGTGCAGTTAAAAAGGGATCAGCCTTTCTCCTTGGATGTTTCAAAGGGCTATTCCTCTATGGCAGGAGTCTTCAACCTTGGCCACTTTAAGCCTGGCGGACTTCAACTCCCAGAATTCCCCAGCCAGCTTTGCTGGCTGGGGGATTCTGGGAGTTGAAGTCCGCCAGGCTTAAAGTGGCCAAGGTTGGAGACCCCTGGTCTATGGCAGGGGTGGGCAACTGTGGCCCTTTTACAACCTGTGGACTTCAACTCCCAGAATTCCTGAGATAGCTAAGCTGGCTGGGGAATTCTGGGAGTTGAAGTCCGCTAGGCTTAAAGTTGCCAAGGTTGGAGACCCCTGGTCTATGGCAGGGGTGGGCAACTGTGGCCCTTTTAAAATCTGTGGACTTCAACTCCCAGAATTCCTGAGACAGCCAAGCTGGCTGGGGAATTCTGGGAGTTGAAGTCCACAGGTCATAAAGGGGCCATATTTGCCCACCCCTGGTCTATGGAGATTCTCAGTCATCCAGGTCATTGTTGTCCCAAAGGTGCTTTTTTTCAAGAGGCGAGAAACTCCAATTGTCCCTTGAAAAAAGCATCTTTGGGGCAAAGGGCAAGTCCTACCGAGAAAAAAATATTTGGGGTGTGTGTGTCATGTTTCCTGATTATCTGACCAGAAGGGGGAACATTCAGCAGCACATCACCGTGGGATTTGAGATGGAAGAGATTGCAGTCAAACTCTGTGCTGCTTTATTGTATAAATTCCCCATTTCAGACTGTGTACTGATCCCTATCTGGTGTCAGAGGAGAACCATAAAGGCTGAATATATTACTGTACAGCAGAGGTCTTCAAACTTGGCAGCTTTAAGAATTTGTGGACTTCAACTCCCAGATTCTCCAGCCAGAGAGAATTGGCTGGAGAATTCTGGGAGTTGAAGTCCACAAATCTTAAAGCTGCCAAGTTTGAAGACCTCTGCTGTACAGTAATCTAATGAGCTAACAAGGATAAGGATCACTTTGCCTAAGAAAACCTCTCCAGCCTGTTGGAAAAAATGTCTATCTGAGTTCAGTTCCAAGTGGGGAGAAAGACACTGGAAACATGGAGGATGCTTGGAAGGATGGTTTAATGGTGGATAGGACCACATGGGTTTTTTGGGTCCTGTGCAAATAAGCACGGGGGTGGGGAGGGAGAGAGAGATTTATACTCTCTCTTGGGCTTTGAATTTGAACTTCCTGTTCCTGTGGCAAGGGCATGTATTCTAAATGGTTGTCAGACTCCCAGGGATAACTTTGTAGGCTGTCT